AAACAAAATGTAGTGAAGAATTCAAAATTAGTTTAAGTTAATCGATGTACGAGTGAATCTTCAGTTCACCCACACCCACACTCAGTGTTTGGCATGAGTCAAATTTTTGTTACCCGATTCTTAGTCGAAAACAAAGGATATGTTCTTGTACTCGTTTCGCTCATAAAATTTCTCCGATATGCTTCAGTTGAAAGAAAGATGATTATGTAATAGAATTTTTTCTTTTCTGATGCATACAATCTGCGACTTTTATATCATCATTAAATAGACAGTGTACATGCTAAAAAAGATTGCGCGATACATAACTTCTTGTTCTACTAGCTTTTCTCACACTCGTTTATAGAAGTTTGTAATAAAAAGAACATATTTGAAATAGTTTCTGTATCTGCAAAATATTCCGACTATAGATTGATTCCGAAATCCAAAATCTTTTCAATAGTCTCACTTGAGTTGAATAATGTTACACATCCCTTTTCATAATGTCATTTTAATATTCTATTTCAATATAATTTTATTTTAGCTTTGATTATTGAACAAACATCAAACAATATAAAAACTTCTTTACCAACAATTGAAGTTGATTCAAATCGTCAAGTTTTTAAAACATGTAATGAACAATTAGCTACACATGAATTACTTTGGCTTCAATTTTATATTTCAGAATTAAATAATAATGAACAATCATTAATTAAAATAACAAAATATGTCAAGAAATTATATAAATCTTTACGAGAAGATTCTATTCTTATTGGAATTTTATCTGGACAAGATAGTTTTGCTCGATGTTTTGTCAAAATAAAAGATGATGAAAAATTAACTCCGTTAGTTATCGATGGAAAAGAATATCCATACGATTTAAAATTAGTTAAAACTAAATAAAAAGAAAAACAAATTTTATTGTTATTGTTGTTTTTTTCTTTATCATGTTTGAGATAATAAAAGAAAAACATTGTTATTATCGTTTATTAACGATAAAAAAATCTACTGAAATAATTTTTTTTTTGTATCATATAGGCAAAGATTCAAGCGAAAGTTTTGTATCAATCTTCTTTCTTTTATATTTTTATATTGAAATATTGCAGAGAATCATACCTTTTCTAAAAGATATTCTATTATTTCTTCTCAGAATTTGTTTTGCAAAATATTTTCAATGACAAATAGATTTCTATGCAACTTCCTCGAAAACAAAAACATATGTTTTGCTATCTGGTTTTTCTCTAATAAGAAGGAATTGTCAATTTAAACATACAGATACAGACTTGAAATTTTTTTCAACACTAAAATCGTCTATTTTTATCGTGATAACTTTTGTTATCTGGAAAAATGATTACATTTTGATTATCATATAATTTAATAACAATCTTTTAACATATTTCCATAGTCCATTATCTAAACTTTGTAGTTCGCATTAAAAGATTCAAAAATGATTTTTAATATAATTTGAAAATTTGCTCTAGCTGTGATAATTTCGAGTCTAAATCCATGGAGTGATATTCTTTTTTTGAAATAGTGAATTAGATCAAGAGGAACATTGATATATTATTCCACTCGACTGAAAATCTAGAAAAACTTCTTAGAAAACTTGTTTTGTATGTACAATTACACTAGTCAAGTGCTTAGAAAGAGTATTGATTCACTCTATATTTATGAAGATTGTCATGTTAGTGTTTGTCTTATTGATTTTTTTCAAAGCATTTCATACTTATTTACATTTTTAGTTGTTCGCATTAACTTCTCTTCTCAAACGTTATTGATCAGATAACTTATAGCCAACTTTCATATTTCATAAGATCAATCGAATGTTCATATATTTTTCTATGTTGCGAACCTGTGTTTTAGACAGACAAAGAAGTATGTCCAATTAAAATGCTTGTTAACAAAGTTTGTAAAAAGAAATTATGAGATATCTTTTAGCGATAAATAGGTTCTCTGCGATGCTTCTATACTAAGATACAAAAAAAAACAAACAAAATTAATGAAAAAACATGGACCCCTTACTTGTGTATCAGTACGTGTTGTGTCCTAAAGATATTGAATGAGATTATTAACAATGAAAAAATGCTTAGAAACTCTACTTTGAATAACATTTGTAAAATAAGTCATACAATGTTTCATTATTCGCATGCTCTAGTTAGCCATATTATATAGCATTATATCGATAGTCCACGTTATACTTATTAGTTTAATGCTACGGAATTAGTATGGACTCTTATCAAAGATAACATTTGATAAAAAAATCCAAAAGTCACAAGGTAAGCAGGAAAATGTATCTGATAAAGCGTCGTATAAGCTGCTAAAAAAGCGTTCTTCAAGAATGTATTAAAATATTTCTAAGCATTGTGTTGTAGTTTGCTAGAAAATTATGGTTGTTATTTGTTTAAATTTAGCCGTTTAAATAATTAATATTAAATGTACTGAACATTGCTTAGAAAGTTCATCATCTTTAGATAAGCTTAATATAAGTGAAGTGTTGATTTTTGTACTTGAAAAATACACTAATACAAAAAGAATTGAAAATAGTTCATTGTTGGCTTTAATATGAGTTAATTTATACAATTAATATCGATAAGAAGTAATTTAAATTGTGCTGTCTGTCTCAACAAAATTATTATTACCATATTAAATAGATTAACAATTCTGAACAAATTTCTTTTCGTATATAATGAAAAATTTCGATAACGCAATAGAATTATTTTAAAAAGAAATCTTGCAGAAAAATGATGGACACATACAATTGATTACGTCATAAATATAAATTCAAATTGTCTACGAAATTGTTTTTTTTTCTTTTGTAGACTCTGTTTGACTCATAATTTTAATATTCTTATCTAGTTTGACTAACGGTGAGTATCATTACAGTATCAAGTTCTAAAACATCTGACCATTGTTTTTTTTTTATCGTTATCTCTCTAAAAAAACATATAGTAATTTAAATTTTTTATTTGTATTCTCATGAAATAGATAAATACCTAATATGTAAGATGTGTTTTGTTTTTATTTATTTTTAAGATAATATAATGTTGTGTGAAATAAGTTCCTGGTCCGGTAATAATTTCTTTCTCACATGGATGATACTTAGTTTGATTGCTCTTGTTGTACTTATTGTATTTTCAACATTAATTTTTTATCATTATTATGTAAAAATAACTTTCGAAAAATGGTTACAAAAATCGCATCCAAAATATCCATCAGCAAATAATGTTCGTACTGAAATAATATTAATGTTAAAAGGTCTTTTAACAGCAACTTTGTGTCCTGCATTGGCATTATATTTAATGGGTCGACAAAAATTACAAGGTTATTGTGGTGTCGGTGAATATGGTTGGGGATATTTAATCATTAGTTTTTTTATTATTTGGTTATCAACAGACTTTTTTGAATTTTTTTATCATCGAATGGGACATACGATTGATACCTGTTGGAATATACATAAGTCTCATCATCAATTTTATAATCCAACACCATTTGCTGTTATAGCTGATGAATATTTAGATCAATTTGTACGTGCATTACCATTAATAGTTTTACCGGCTTTAATACCAGTTAATATGGATTTATTATTTTTTCAAGTAAGATAAACTTAAGAAAATACAAAAAATATATATATATATATTCATATGGGATATTTATTCTAGTTTGCTACTTTTTTTTATGGTTATGGTATTTATCTTCATTGGGGTCATGAATTTTCGTATCCAGATGCTCATCATCCTATAATTAATACATCTTTTCAACATTATTTACATCATGCTGTTTCTATTAAAAATAAACCTTATCATACGGGATTTTATTTTAAAATATGGGATCAATTATTTGGTAGTATTTATCCAAGAGAAAACTGCTTTTGTATTAAATGTCAAAAGGAAAAAGGACAACGTACACGTGAAGAATTTGACAAAATAGAAAAACCAGATTATAGTGTCTTGTTAAACTGGAAGTTTTGGTTCAATGAGAAACTCGTTTAAAAAGTTTTTCATTTCATATTTATTTTTACAATAAAAAGTCACTAGAAGAAATAAATTAATCGACAACTTTCAATAATAATTAATATCAATATCATAGCGAAAGCAAATATTAACTAGCATATATACGTCATACGCGTGATATCAACAGGCATTTTCTCTATTGTAAATATGTAAAAAATAAATTGTGAATTTGTTTCGATAAAAATATTAACATAATTTAGTTTTATTTATAAGCGGCACCTCGATTAACAAGTTTGAGTTGCTATCTATTTACTACGATATCATTGAACTAAACATATCAGTAAATTTAGTAAAAAGAACAAATATACTAATGATGTCAAAAGGAAGTAAGAACAACATTCAAATAATAGCTTCAATCAGCACTGATTATTGACTTAATAGTTCAAAGTCTTTAGATTTTATTTTCTTTATTTCACTTGTTAGTTTGGCTAATGATTGAACCGTAAAAGTTATGACAGAATGTTATCTTTAACAGTAAATATTGAATGATTTTGGTTCAATGTATAGATCTATCTTTATATCAGAAAACATGTTTCGGAAAATAGTTAAAATGAGTAATCTTTTGTACATAACGTATGTGTGAAAACTAACATAAACATTTAACTTGTTAAAAATTGTTTTTCGAAGTATTTATAAAATATACATGAACTATGAGACAGACACATAAAACGAATGAATATCGATCATTACTGTAACAGGAAGTAGAGTTTAGTAGTGACAAATGTTGTCGTTTAAAGACGGATATCCTTCAAAATTTTTTATCATTAATCTCTTATCAAACATCAGATGTAGAGAAAAATAAATTGATCCAATATTCATCAGAATTGACAATAAAAAAAGAAAACAATGCTTAAAACTCGTATTTTTTTCGTAAAGAAAAGACAAACAGAGATTAGAAATATATATATATATAATAGAACAGATGTGTATCTTTTTGAATGCTTTAAGGGCATTTTTATTTTTATTTTCCTCGAGAAATATACAATGTCTGCTCTGAGAAATCTACTTTTTTTAATGCTTATACGAACAATAATTGATTCAGTTCAAATTAATCTTCATTTAACAGATTTGCTAAATGATAAAGAAAGTGATATTATATTTCAACATAATTGTCTTTATGCTGCTGCTTCAAATGAAAAAGAAAATAATGTTTATCAAATAATTTCATATTGTATGAGTGAATTACCAACACAATGGAATATACAAGAAAATAATTTCGATCACCTATTTACTTTTGCAGAACTCTATAAACAAAATATAACTAGTCAACAATTATATATTTGGTCAGCACCAATCGATATTATTGAACGTTATCAATTATTTTTAAATCAATTACCATTATCAATGGAAATATCAATGTCAAAAGAATTATATTATAATTGTACATTACCAAGATTCGGTCCAATTTGTCAATATGAATTTGATTATTATAAAACACAATATTCATCATTAAATGAGATGATTAATAATTTCTATCATGAACATAAATATCAGCCAAATACATTAACATGTTATATTCATTTAAAATGTAATCGTGGTACTACTTCAGCTTGTCTTGATTGGAGTGAAATTTGTGATGGAAAAATAGATTGTCTCAATGGTGGACATGATGAAGAATATTGTTGGCAACTTGAAATAAATGAATGTAATAAAAATGAATATCGATGTGCTAACGGACAATGTATACCTTTAACATTTTTTCGAGATGATCATATTATACCTGATTGTTTGGATGGATCTGATGAAATATTAAACAATTATTATCAACGTTCTTATTATAACATTGCTGAGCCAACAATTCAATGTGAAGATATCATATGTAGAATACACAATCATATGTATCAAACATCATTGACAAGTTCATGTGTAAAAGAACGAACGTTATTACTATTGAAAGCTTTATTCTCGAGCAAACCAAATTTTGTACATGATAATTGTTGGCAAGCATTTAAATGTCTGTTTAATATACCAATGGAAGATAATTCGACTTGTCTTGAATTTTGTCAAAATAAAAAATGTGAAAATATAATACAAAAGACTTGTCCACATATATTAAATATAGTAGATATTCCAATTTTATTCGATCATGTTCATTTTATTTATACAAAAAATGATTTCAATCCTCCCAATAGTTGGAGAACTTTACTGCCATATATATGTTATAATGATACGAGATGTGATAAATTATTTGAAAACAATTTATTGATTTTCTTCAATAATACTAGATGCATTCGTCCCGAGTATTATAATGAAATGCATTTATCAGAAGAAAAATCCTCGATTTACACATTTCTTATGTCAACATATAAACGATTTTGGAAATGTAATTATATCATCGATTATGATTTAACTTTGTGTAATAGACCAAATATGTATCTATGTATAAATTCATCTAAATGTATTTCAATATATCGTCTTAAAGATGGAATTGGAGATTGTTATTTTAATGGCGATGAAAAATTGAATATATTCAATGAAATATTTTCATTCAAACAATTACCTAAATTTTTTAAATGTACAAAGACAAATATTTCTATTTCTTATCATCTTGTAGACAATGGTAAATGTGATTGCAGTTCAAATGACAACGAGTTTTGTGAAGATGAATATCCATCTTTATATTATATTCAAAAACATATATCATTTCAAACGATCTGTGATGGTTTTACTGAATTATTACCAATAATTATCGATGGTCAAAATCATACTGATGAAACTGAATGTGAACAATGGTTTTGTAATAATATATATACACATTGTGATGGAATTTGGCATTGTCTTGATGGAGCAGATGAAATAAATTGTGATTCTTTACCATTAATAAATTGTTCATTATCTCATCATATATGTGTATCATCTCTAACAAATCAACTCATGTGTTTACCTATTGATAAAGCTAATGATGGTAATATTGATTGTCTTGGTGCTACCGATGAACCAAAACTTTGTCGATCTATTGAAAATAAATTCAAATTAGAAAATTTTTACTGTCATAATGATAAATATAAATTATGTATCTCATATAAAAATCTGTGTAATAATTACAAAGATTGCGAATATGGAGATGATGAACAAGCTTGTGATATTACTCGAAACTTTACAACATATGAAGGTATATGTCATGAAAAATATAGATTAATTCGTAGTAATGTTGAAAACTTTCTTTGTACACGACTCGACGAGACTAACAAACAATCGATCGTATATTTCTCTCTAAATCCTATGGAAAACTCAATAAAACAAACAACAACAAATATAAATAAAAATTTAATTCTACCAAAGTCAACTATGATGGAAAATATTTATAATTATAAACAACGTTGTCATCGTGGTCTTGATGTAAAAGTTTGGTTAGATAATACAAAAAATTTAACAACAAGAACATGTCTTTGTCCACCAATTTATTATGGTAATTTATGTCAATATCAAAATCAACGAGTTAGTCTTACTTTACAATTTCAAACATTATCTGATTCTTGGCAAATACCATTTGTTATTATTATTTCACTTATTGATAATAGTTATCAAAGAAAAATTCATTCATATCAACAATTAAATTATTTACCAATGAAAAATTGTCAAACAAAATTTCATATCTATTTACTTTATTCATATCGTCCTAAAGATCTTTCAAAAAATTATTCAATACATATTGATATTTATGAAAAGATTTCATTAACTTATCGAGTAAGTTTTTTAGTACCAATCATGTTTCCTTTTTTACCTGTAAATCGTCTTGCTCTTCAATTTACGATTCCATATAAAAATCATATTGTTGATAGTTGTTCAAAACAAAGATGTTTTAATGGACGATGTATTAATTATTTTGGTAATCATAATAATATAACATTTTGTCAATGTTATCCAGGATGGTCTGGACAATATTGTACAATTCGACATCATTGTATGTGTTCTTCTGATTCATTATGTTTTGGAAGTTCATCTGATAATCGATCAATTTGTGTTTGTCCAATTAATAAATTTGGTTCTCGATGTATGTTAAATAATCAAATATGTCAATTAAATGCAAATCTTACATGTCTTAATGGTGGTCAATGTATATCATTTGATCAAAATTTAATGTCAATAAATAATTTCAAATGTATTTGTCCTAAAGGTTATAGTGGAGATCGATGTGAAATAATTGATAATAAAATAATATTATCATTTGATAAAGATATAATATTACCTCAAATAATGTTAATTCATTTTATTGAAATAATGAATAATAGTTCACCAAAACGATCAACAACATTTAAAACATTACCTACATATCATCAATCACTTGTTATTAATTGGTCTCATTCATTTCATATTGTTTTAATTGAATTTTTAAATAAAATATATTATTTAACTGTTTATCAAAAAAAATCTAATCAATCAATAATAATTGTTAAAAAAATTCAATCATCAGATCGTTGTCAACATATAAATGAAATATTTAATGATACAATGGTTAAATTACATTTATTAAGACGTATTAAATATTATCATTTAGTATGTCAAAGAAATATTTCTGAACCATATTGTTTTTATGATGATATTCATATTTGTCTCTGTGATAATTTTGGTCACGAACGACAAGCAAATTGTTTTGAATTTGATCATCAAATGAAATTTGATTGTGTTAGTGAAAATCGTTGTGAAAATGGTGCTCAATGTTATCAAAATAGTCCAACTTGTCCACAAACAACAATATGTGTTTGTCCAACATGTTTTTATGGTAGACAATGTCAATTTAGTACAAGTCGTTTTGGTTTTTCTCTCGATCCTATTTTAGGTTATAAAATTCAACCATATATTTCTATAAAAAATCAACCAATTATTGTACAAGTTACATTTATATTAACAATATTAATGACTATTCTAGGATTTATTAGTGGTATATTATCAATTATTACATTCAAAAATCGAAAATTACATGAAGTTGGTTGTGGAATTTATTTATTAAGTTCATCAATATCTTCTTTATTAACAATGATAATGTTTGCTTTAAAATTTTCAATTTTACTTGGAGCACAAATGGAAGGCATTATAAATCGATCATTTCTTTATTTTCAATGTATTACAATTGATTTTTTTCTACGTATTAGTCTTAATATGGATCATTGGTTAAATGCATGTGTAGCTTCAGAACGTGCTATCACTTCAATTAGAGGAGCTCAATTTAATAAAAGAAAAAGTAAAAAATTAGCTAAATATGTTATTATTAGTCTACTTATATTGATGATAAGTACAACTATTCATGATCCTTTACATCGACGTTTAATTGATGATGTTGATGAATATGGTGAAAATAAACGTATATGGTGTATTGTTAGTTATTCATCAAGTATTGAAGTATTCAATTCAATAATTAATGTATTTCATTTTTTTGTTCCATTCTTTATTAATTTAATCTCAACTATTATTATTATTAAATCAAAAGCTCGACAAAAAGCAATTATTCAACCTGAACGTACACATCGACAACATTTGAATATTCAATTTCAAAAAAATATTCATTTATTAATTGCTCCTATTCTATTAGTTATTCTTGCTCTTCCTCGTCTAATTATTTCTTTTGCATCGGGTTGTATGAAATCAGTTCATAACTCTTGGTTATTTGTTACTGGATATTTTCTATCATTTATTCCATCGATGTTAACATTTATTTTATTTATACTTCCAAATAAATCTTATAAAGCACAATTTGGAAAGACTCTGCAACATTTTAAAAGGAAAGTACAAATGTATGTTCAGCCTATTTCATAAAAGGTATTTGTTTTTTAAAAACAATATTTGTTGTTTGTTGAGTTATGAATAATATCACATGTTTATCTTTGACAATATTATAGTAGATTACTCATATAAACAATAGATATAAATGAATGAAATTTTAATTTAACTAGATCACTGAGAAAACTTATACTCATTAAAGATTTTCCACGCTTTCTTTTTTGATTTGAGATTAATCTTAAAGTTTTATCTTGCTATCAGAATTATTTTCAATTCAACAATACTACCCATGTAAAAAAAAAGTAGAAAATTTTCACTTTTAAGTACTTTGCATATTAATAAAGTAAAAAAAAGTCACTTTTCACAACTATTTCCCACCTTTGAAAGTACTTTTACATACTTTTCTACCTTTCGAAAGTACTTTTCCATACTTTTTCACTTTTGAAAGTACTTTTACATACTTTTCTACTTTTAAAAGTACTTAATAGTACTTTTTTCTAACAAAAAGTATTTAAAGTAACTTTTGACACTTTAAAATGTACTTTAATATATTTTTCCACTTTTGAAAGTACTTAACAGTACTTTGTCCTGACAAAAAAGTATTGAGAATAACTTTTGATACTTTTAAAAATACTTATTAGTACTTCCGTTTGTATAAAGAATACAAAGTACTTTTCCGTATTAAATGAAGTACTTAATGATACTTTTGTGTCACACAAAGTGTTGGAACTACTTTTCGACATAATTTACAGTAATTAATAGTACTTCTTTATGACGCAATTTTTTAAAGTACTTTTGAATACTTATTGAAGTAGCTCAAACTACTTTCTTATTTGATAACGTGTTGAAAGTAATTGTTGATACGTTTTGAAGAACTTCATAGTACATGCTTATGACACTCGGGTTAACCCATGTAAAAAAAAAAAGTAGGAAATTTTCATTTTAAGTACTTTCAATATAAAATAAAGTGAAAAAAAGTCACTTTTTGCTACTATTTGCTACTTTCAAAAGTACTTTTCCACACTTTTCCACTTTTGAATGTACTTAACAGTACTTTTTTGTAACAAAAAGTATTGAAATTCCCTTTTCACACTTTTGGAAGTACTTTGTAGTAATTACTCTGAAAATAAAGTATTGAAAGTACTTTGAGACACTATTTCATGTACTTAATACTAATTTTATAGAAAATAAAGTATAAAAAGTACTTTTCGATATCATGAAAAGTACTTAACAGTATTTTCCTGCCATGCTAAGTATTGGAAATACTTTACGGTACTATTGGAGGTACTTAATAGTACTTTTCTACAAACCAAATTTTCGAAGTACTGGTAAATATTAATCAAAGTGATTCATAGTACTTTCTTATTAGATACAGTATTGAAAGTAATTGTGGATACTTGTTGAAGAGCTTAATAGCACCTGTTTAAAACATGAATCAAGCCTTTAGACTGTAAGTTTGCATCATTGATTGTGCATGCTCTTGCAGTACCAGACGAATATTGTACGAGAAATTTTTGTCTCTGCAACATTTACCTTAATGCTCGATGTACAATTCTTGCCAGATCGTACGCATCATTAATGCTCCATAGGCGTTGACACAAAATTTACAGGAAAGCAAATTAACTTTTTTGAATTTATGCCAACTCTTTTGAGTCATTAGTTAAAATGATCTTGGAAGAATCTGACATGAAGACTTAATCTAATTTAGCACACATCAAAATTACTCGTACGGTTTCTATCAGATGTTACAAAATCATAAAAAATCAGACTTCAGATCCTAAGACTTTATTGCCTCGTTACTTGGTCTAGGAGAAAGTGTTAAATGCATCTTTTGATAATCTGAAGTGTTTAACAAAACTTTCCTGTCAATCAACATGTTGAAAGTACCTGCTGATATTTCTTTTCATTCCTCAATTGTACTTATTCTGTATAACATAAAGTGTTAGAAGTACTTTATATTACTATCCCTGCATAAAAAGTATTTTATGTACTTTTCAACACTATTTGAAAATAATTAATATTACTTTCCAGTTTGCTTAAGAATTCTGAATAATTTTTGATACTTGTTCAATTAATTAATAGTACTTTTTTATGACATAAAGTGCTCGAAGTAATTTTGGATAGATCTTGAAGTACTTTATATTACTTTCCCGTCATACAAAATATTGTATGTACGTTTCGACACTATTCGAAGTATTTAATAGAACTCTCTTTAAGAACAAGTATTGAAAACAGTGTTAGATACTATTTGAAGCACTTAATAGTACCCTTTATTATGCCATAAAGTATTAGAAAGTACTTTAAAATTCTTTTTAATGCAGTTAAAAATAGTTTCTATAACGTAATGGATTAAAATCGGTGTTGGCTAACATTTGAGGTCAGAAATAGTGCCTTATGTGCTCAGTAATGTTAGGTGTGGCTGTTATTTGACATGAAAAAAAGTAGGAAACTTCCACTTTAAAGTACTTTCAATATCAATAAAGGGGAAAAAGTTACTTTTTGCTACTACTTGCCACTTTCAAAAGTACTTTTCCACTTTTGAATGTACTTAATAGTACTCTTTTGTAACAGAAAGTATTGAAATTCACTTCTCACACTTTTGGAAGTACTTTGTAGTAATTACTCTGAAAATAAAGTATTGAGAGTACTTTTAGACACTATTTCCAGTACATAATAGTACTTTCAATATACAAAATTATCAGAAAATTATCTTTTTACCTTCCAAAGTACTTGACATTACTTTTCCTACTTTAAATAGTACATTTTCATACTTTGATTACCACAAAAAACTACTTAATAGTACTTTCCCACGACAATGATTCGAAGAAGTAGTTTTGATAGTAGGGAAAGCCCGGTAAAGTACTTTTTAAAGTAAAAATATTTTATATTTGACACCTGGGGGTGCACCGGCCACTTTTTCGCATTTCTGTGTTTGTCCTATGCGATACATCTTAGAAACTCAAGCACTTAATTTTCTGATAAGAAGTGACCTCTTATCGTATTAATTTTGACAAATACTCATCAGAATTTCAGAGCAAGGCAGAGACTCAGATCAGTCAGGTTATAAAGACTTCTAGCGAAGACCTGTGTTCTAATACTGATGGATGTATTTCGTTTGATTTTGCTTCGGTAATAGTAGAAACCGATCATCACCATTGATTTCGTACTTCTAAATGGACAATATTAATAATAACTAAGAATACAATGATAGAGACCGTTTATCGGGTTCAACCGATAACCATACCCACAGTCACCGGTCTAAGTATGATAACTGTATCTACCGTTAGTAGTCAAAGTATGAGTATCGCAGATACGATTGGTAGCCTCATTGCGACGATCGCGCTTATAGTTTCTGTTTCAATTACAATCACCTTAGGCTTAGTTTTCAGATCAAATCGGCTGTCATGAAAAAACAGCAATTTTAAGAGAACAATGATTTTACAAAAGTTGACGGAGTAAGCCCAGACTGGACAATTAAAATTCGAAGTTAGGTTGAATATTTTGAAGTGAAGTTCTTAGATTAAGGGAATGCTCGTTATGAAAATAACTATGTCCTTGAAAAACTGATGAAATGAAGTGTAACTTGAGACACTCAACTCTAGTACTTAGGAAAATTATAACATTCAGCAAGAAATTTTTTCATTAATAATTAAAGTGCAGAACTACGACAAATTGATATCAGATTTGGGTCCCTGAAAACCAATTTATTTTTGCCATTCTATATTAAATATCAGTATGTTCTTAATAATCCTTCCCGAAGCGTAAAAACTCAAGTTGAACATTCTCGAAGTTTTACCTTAGTTTCTGATTTTCCGACTTTGATCATCTTTTGTCAGCAGGTATAGGAAACGTTAGTACTTCAGAAACTACTAGGTTTTAAGGAGGTGGCGTAGAATTGATAACTGTACTTATGGTTGTTGCAATTGGTCCAAGAACCAGAGGTACAGTTTTCTTAGTTACGCCAGTAACCTAGCCATGGTTAAGACAGTGAAACCATAGTCATACCTGTGGTTATCGTCATTGTTGTATCAACAATAATGATGACGACAGGCGAAGCTGTACTGTTTACTAAACGGCGCTGTGACACATCAAGGATTTTTTCATACTTGAGTATCTTGATTTGACTAATAAAAGGGTTAGTGGAACTATAAAAATTTATGCTAGTTTCCGATGTATCAGCATCAGTGATTGATGCATGCATGCAAGTGTCTGAATAATGGTCAAACTCGACCATCTCAGTATGTTTATAATATTTTACCTTCTTATATTTGCCTTAGTCTTCAAGATTAAAACCATATTCTTAATTTGAGAGTATGATCGTATATGAAACACTATAGCCCATGAACATAATTAGGAGATTAACGACTTTACCGGTGTAAAAGCGAAAAATCTACAGTAATGGCTACTAGACGGGTATCACCGGTCACCTTGAGCATCAAATAGTCCGCAAAATTCTATGAACCGGCTATAGTGGTAGGTTCCTACGCTCTAAATACTATTGTTAGCTTTCATATTCCTCATTAAAACTGTATAGCCGAGTGCACGACAAGAGTGATAATGACAAATCTTTTCCCCAGCATATGACTTTAAAGTTAAAAATAGGAGCCATAGGATCACGAAAAACTATGGCGATAAAACCTAAATAGGCACTGCTAGTTACTCTGAACCTCAATGAATCTGTAACCTGCTGCAAACCACCTATCATCGTAGGTCTCCATCCTCTTAACCACCATTATTAGACTACATAGTGATGCTTTAAAATGTATAATTTAGATCTGTTCACTAGAATATGAAAATTTTCTTCTTGGATGAATATGATGATCATGCCGATTCTGAGACTTAAAGAATCAAGAAAACTCACGACAATGACTATTAAAAACGCACTACTGGTTACCCAGAACTTCTATTAGTCGGTAGAATGTAATA